CTTTCTCACTGGATCCTAGACGTTTGTCATGTTTTTTAGTCAGTAACTGTAAAAGGAATTTTGTAAAATAGGTTTTGTTAATTTTAATGCTAAACATCAGGAGCATTAACAGTAAGTCGGGCCCTGTTGGAGGTCCTGTGGGTGTGCGGCTCCGTCCTGGGTACGAGATATCTGTGTGAGAACTGCACAACAGGGGGAGAACAGTGTGAAGGGGGGTGCTAAATGGATTTTTGCCTGTGTAGCCAAGAACCCTTGCACCAGCCCTGAGTGTATTTTGAGATGTTCAATGCTCAGTACTGTTCATGTGAAATGCACTATTTTTGTCTTTTCGTATTTACTTCTTCAGCATTAACCTCAAAGGGTCAGAACAAAGGTAAGGTAAAAATGTGTATTATCACTATTAATTATAAATAAACATATAGTGGGTAGAAATCTCACTGTTTGAGGGGGGTGCTGGCAATGCAATGCTTTACGCCAGGATAAATCGTGGTGGTGCTTGTACATGGTTTGTAACTGCTACTATGTTTTTATACAAGCCACTAGTGGGCGCTGTGAGTCACATAACTATAGAGAATGAGTGTTAGATGTAATATTGCATCATTTATGGATGTCATTGAATAAGTGAGCAGACATTTCGGGTTTTGTTTTAATACTCTGTAATAATGAATGTTTCTTTACCAGCTTTAACACACACAGCTAGCTACATCCAATTCAAAGTGAATATATAGCATTGAGAAATTTGCATGACCAATAAGAGAACTATTGTATAAACATCAAATAAAAAAACTGATACATTTCCTCTCCCAAAGGTCAGCCGGACCTCCTTTCTTTATTGCCCATTCTACAGAATTCCCCCATCTCAGGGCAGCTTTCTAGGTCTGAATCTCCACTCATTGATGGCGAATGGACGTTTTCAGCATGGATTGTATGATATATTAAATTTGCGTGACAACTTACCTTACTCAGTATTGAAGTGGCTTCACTAGACAATGACTCTGGAATTTTTAGTTTACATTTGGCAATTTTAGCATAAAGCGTCTCAATATCACGGCCTTCGAAGGGTAACTAGAGAAAAAATACATTTAAAAAACCTCAGTTAAAGTTTGAATAAGTTGTAAATTGTAGTAGCTGAAAGCTGAGCAATAAATTAATAGTAAGGGTTTTATAATCTTCGTAGTACAGATGACACAATGTGTATATCACAACTCAACAACCATGTGTGTGCGAGTTTATATAATATGTGAAAGATAATGGAACGCTGTCGTGAAATACATCATCAGGCGTACTGCGTCCGGAGATGCAATGTGATTGGCTGGAATTTTCAAAACGCTGAGCGATTTTTCAAGACCGCAGGGAATATCCATTTTTGAGCTCTGAGACAAAGGACTGAAGGTCTATATCAGGGGGTGCCTAGAAGGTAGATCCCCAGATGCTCTCTAACAACAACTCCCATGATGCTTTGCATACCTTTACAATGAAAAAGCATCATGGAAGATCTACCTTTTTGGCACCCATGGTCTATTGTATAATTCATTTTCTCCTGGTGTTTTTATTTATTTACTTTTTAAATTGTCATCTAGTATTATTTGTTTTGTTTTGTACAGTAACATTGGGTTACGATGGCTTTTTTCTTTTTGTCAGGAGACAAAAAAAGTTAAATACAAAACATTTAAGCAAGTTAGTAGGTGGGATGTTTATTAGAGTCAGCACTACTAAACATCCTCTGACCGTATAGGTATTCACAAAGAAGTGGTATACAGAGGGTTACACACGATGTACGCACACAATGTCAGCCACCGGAGCACTAAGTAACTGGACCACGGGCAGAGCAGAAGATGGAGATAATTCATTGGTGAGAGATTTAGATTTGGGGGAACCAAGGGTCAGGGGTTAATTACAGGGTATTGATACCAATTAGGAATGAAGCTGTCTGGATCTATTATGGGAAGGGGTTAATTTGAGATGTGATTTGGATAAGGATGGGATCATTGTAAAGAAATGTTGGAATATAATAGTTGAAGGAAAATGACAGGTAAACGAGTGCAAAAATAACGGTCAGGGAATGTGGGGTCTGTGTTTGGAAGGGAGGAGTTAATTAATTGGGGGTGTCTGTTTTGGGGTGAGATACGTTTGTATACAAATGTGGGTGTGAATGTTGGAGAGAGAGGAATTATTGGAAGAGGGGAGGCCAACAAAAAGTAATAAAACAAAACCAAAGAAAATAGAGCAATTTTTTTATAAAGATTGCTGTTATGTAACCCTATGGAACAAGCGCAGCTTAGTGGAATAGGGACTTGACAGAGCTAGGAGACGGGCATAGGGGGAAGGCCCCATGTGGGAGTGGAGTGAGAGTGTAAAAGGGGGTTGGCCCAGTATAAATAGGACGCCATATTAGTGACAAGCACTTTTAATTTGCTTATCTGGCCTAAGTTGTCCCTCCCACCCTTCCATTTGTAAGGGTAAGGGGTGTTAGCTCCCGTTTGGTCACAGCGGCGGGGCTAGAGAGAGAAAAGTTATGGGACAAACTAGCTCTGGGGTAGTGTAAATAGAATAGGGCAGTTAGGCTGCTGGTGAAGAGTTTGGTTAAATGGTTCGTTATGAACCTTGGTAGGTTTCGAGCTCGGTGGTGGCTCAGAACCTGGGGTTTGGTAGGGGTATCCGGGTATTCCCCTACCGTGGTTATTTAACTGGGGGTACATTGGCGTTGTTTTAGGCTTATGCAATGTATGCTCATATAATGTAACTAAACCCCCAATATTCTTTGCCTAGATTAGGTGTTTTAAATAAAACTAACAAAATTGTTCAGCACTAAAATAACTGTTTAGTAGATAAGTGAGTGCGCTGGATTTTCCTTTTTACTATTTAACAAAGTCTGGCACTTATGTTTATCATGTTTGTTATTAATGTTGTTGATGTTATTTATATTTACAGAAAGAATGGGTCATTGCCTTTTATTTGGGGACATATGATGTTATATGGCGGGATGGGGGCTGGGCAATGACTTTAACTTTATTGTTATCCATATTAATAAAGCTGTGGACATATTGACCCATACATCAGTGTCAGTGCGTTTTTGGGGTAAGTTTTGGGGGGGAATTCCACCTGCCCATATGTCGACTATGCGCCTGTCATGTTAAAAGCAAATACTTGGCAGAATCTCTTTATATTTTCTAAACAGAAATCTGACTGTAAATTCTTAATGAAAGATTGTTCTTACGTTTCCAGTTAACATTACATAAATAACCACTCCGAAGCTCCACCAGTCCACAGATCTTGTATATGTCTTGCGCTTGGCCATTTCAGGAGCCAGATAATTAGGAGTTCCACAAATGCTGTTTGTTCTGTCTCCGTATCCAATTCCTCAGAAATAGTGAGAATAGAATTGTATATAAGTTGAGGATAGTTGCTCAGTTTTAGCAATTTACATTTGGATATGACTTTCTTTAGGTTTGTTGCTGCTGCAACTTCTCATATCATTTCCGTCCGAATTTGGATTTTTACCAATAATGCAAATGTTAAAATTTCAATTATCGCAGTGGCAGCACTGGGGCTGGGTCTGGCTATCAGGAAAATATTCAAATTTAGCTTGACAAAAAAAAAAAAAACAGAAGTATTTTAGACACTTACACTACACTTAAAGTCACAAAGACTTTAAAGGAACAGTCCGGGCACCATAAAAACGTATTTGAAGTTGTTATGGTGCCAGGAGGCCTCCAGGACGCCATCCTATCTCAAGTGATCAAACCGTTCTTGAACTGTTTAATCTCAAAGTGAGCCTACATCTCCGATCACTACTCCCCTCCAGCGGCATCTGGCTTCTGAAATTACAGTTTTAGAGAGTGCCACTGGGCAGGGGGACCGCTGATTGGCTGGGAGCGGTCAGCTGACACTCTCAGCAATCAGTCACTGCCCATTCATAAAAAATTCCTGGAAAAGAAATGGGAAGCCCACTTAGGAATAATTTCCATTTAAAATAAAAGCTCTTATTTTTAATGTTAGAAAGTTCCTTTATGTCAGTTTTGGAATTAAGCACACCTTTTATAGACATCCTATTATATGTTAAATGGCTGTTTAAATGAAAGATAACTGATTTGAACTTAGTAAGTGTGACCTTTTTGTATCTAAAATTATATTAGAGCATTCTATTTACCTTCTTTAGAGAGACCATAGTCAGTTATCTTCGCAAATCCTCTCTCATCCAGAACAATGTTTTCAAGCTTCAGATCTCTAGATTAAAATGTAGAAAAGGAAGTTTTATTCATTTTACATAACACTAGAAGCACTTAGAATAGCTCTCATTGTTCAGGCTTTTTAAATGGTTAAAATTAATAACTTAATCTAGATAAATAAACTGGGTTAGACAGACTGTGTGCCATAAATAACACTTAAATAATGTGTAGTTTTGTTTTTTTATAGGCTTACCTGTGGATGATGTTTTGTTCGTGTAAATACTCAAGTCCAAGGACGACACATGCAGAATAAAATCTGGGGAAAAAGAAATAAATGAATGGCTTTCTAGAAGATACAGAGTTTGCACAATTAAATGGTTTTATTCCATATATCCTAACTCTGTATTCTGACAGATTACATTAATTCCCAGGTTTACTCATGTCTTTCACTGCTAGTGTGTCATGTATGAGCTGATACAATGGTGATTGGTCGTTTATCACTTACAGCGGGTTCCATTCACCAATGCCGATACTTGCAGAGTCATTAGACATAGTTGGTGCAGACAGCGGTGTATGTGGCCGGAAGTAACTGCTCTGATCCAGCATTGACACATAGTGGTAAAGATATATACAGCAGCTCATAGGATATAAATCAATGTATACAGTTTGAAGTCATTCTAAACTAAATAAACACAGAATTTAAACAAAGTGTGATATCCCAGAATTAATTCATAATCTGAGAAGACGTTATGGAAGGTGTAGCCCAGCTCAAGTCACCATCTGTAGAACATTGGATGAGATATCGAAAAATGGACACAACAATGCTTATACTCACACTGCTCTGGGTTCTGGAAATGGGCCATGGTTGTTATCAAGGCATGTAAGAAGGTCGCCCCCTGCTGCATACTCCATAACAAAGCAGGCGTGATCTCGGGTGTGGAAACACCCAAACAAGTTCATAAGGAATGGGTGCCGCCTGTTACTCACTGTCTGGAATATCCGCTTTTCACTCAGAAGGCTGGAAAGGAAAAGAAAAGTAAATTTTCTTCGACTCTAAAATCAAATGAAAACCCCCCACAGAAACAGGACATGGTCCTCTTCACAAACACAAGATATTTATTACTGCATTCACTGACTTGTTGAACTGATGTGGTAATTCTAAGTTTACTTTTTTTATGAATTTCAGGGCATACATGTTGGTTGTTTCCTTGTGCTCGGCCAGCAGAACCTGAAATTAAAGAATAAAGTGTTGTGCTATCCTGAATTTAAGACATCTGTTATATCGAACTAGAACTCAAATTCCACCATTAACTTACTTTCCCAAATTGCCCCTTCCCCAGCACAGAGCAAAGCTGGAAGTCTTGCATTTTGAGAGTAGGCCGACCCTGAGTACACACAGCAGGTAAGTAGTCATGTGATAGGTCTTCAGAAGTTTCAGAAACACTATTATCCAGACTAGAACAATTAGGTTCACTCATTTCATCTGGTGTCATGATGAATCTGTCATCAATGCTACATCCATAGCTACCTCCAGAATCCTAGAAAAGAAAGTCAGACACAATAAAAGCGTTTTATCGTCACTTCTCTGGAAAGAACGCAATTGAATAAAAAATTGAAAATCACATACATGTTAACAGTTTCTCATGAGATGATCTGTTTTCTTTATGTTTAGTTCTGGCACAGCCAGGGCACACAATGCAAATGAAGAGGACATATAGAAACATTGTTTCATTTCTCCTCCTCTCTGTATGATCGCTCTGTGCTGACGGTCAGGTGCAAAGGGCGGAGCTTTTTTTTTATTTCTCTCTCTGTTATTTTATTATTTTGGGCAGACTAGATGGGCCGAATGGTTCTTATCTGCCGTCACATTCTATGTTTCTATGTTTCTATGTTTTAACAATGACTGACAGGGAGCTAAGATGGAGGCGCCCAGTTACAGTATAAAGAGGTGTGGATTTCTACGTTTAATTTTATCGTTCACATCTCACAAACAGATAGTCGTTGAATTTAGGGATAAGTAAATATAATATTAAACGTCCTGGGAAGTGATTGTTACCCTTTGATAAACCATCAAACGCTCTGATTTATTTACTAAACCCAGAATTCAGCAACTCAATTGATCAAGAAATGCAAATTAACGTATACATTTCATACTTTCTATCATTTTTATATGATTCTTTTCATTTTTTAAATGTGTGTTTATTTTAATTTGACAAGGCAGCAGAGACTATGTATGGAGCAAACTGTGAAGGCCATAACCCGCTCTCCTTTTATAAAGGGATAGCAGCCATAATCTCCACTAGAAAGCTCACCCACGGTGTTGGGGGTTTGTACGATTGAGTCTGAAACATATTGATCAATAAAGGAAAGGAAGCACGGGGTAGTGAAAAGGAAGCTAGGTTTGCTGAGAGTGAAGAGAGAAGCAGTGAATGTGGGAAAATAATGATTAAAAGGGAACTGTAAGCACCATAACCATTCTAGCTCGCTGTAGTGGTTATAGTGACTAGAGTGTCCTGCCGTTCTCCCTGGTTTAATGTTTAACCATTTAGAATCTTCAAAATACCTGGATTTCTTCCCCCTCCTCAGTCATACTGATACCAAGGAATTACCATTTCTGTATCAATATCAATTTTATACAACCTGATGGCATTGATTGTGTTGTGCTGTCCTACATTTGTTAAGACATCTGTTATATCGAACTAGAACTGGAATTCCACCTTAAACTTACTTTCACAGATTGCACAGAGCGATACTGGAAGTCCTGCATTCTGAGAAGCTGATCCTGAATCCACATAGCAGGTAAGTGGTCATGTGGTAGGTCCTCAGGATTTTCAGGAACGCTATTATCCAGACTGGAACAATTAGGGTGACTCATTTCATCTGGTGTCACGATGTATCTGTTATCACTGCTACATTCATAGCTATCTCCAGAATTCTAGAAAAGAAAGTCAGACGCAATAAAATGGTAAAGAAAACTAAAGGAAGCTAGGTTTGCTGGGAGTGGAGAGAGAAGCAGTGAATGTGAGAAAATAATGATTAAAAGGAAATTGTAAGCACCATAACCATTCTAGCTCACTGTAGTAGTTACATTAATTAGAGTGTCCTGGTTCTATCCATGGTTTAATGTCAAACCAATTCGATTCTTCCAAGTACCTGGATGCCTCCTCCCTCCTCTGCCATACTGATAGTGAGGAATTAACATTTCTGTATCCATACCAATTTTATACAACCTGATGGCATTGATTGTGTTGTGCTGTCCTACATTTGTTAAGACATCTGTTATATCGAACTAGAACTGGGATTCCACCTTAAACTTACTTTCACAGATTGCACAGAGCGATACTGGAAGTCCTGGAATTTGAGAAAAAGCTGATCCTGAATCCACATAGCAGGTAAGTGGTCATGTGGTAGGTCCTCAGGATTTTCAGGAACGCTATTATCCAGACTGGAACAATTAGGGTGACTCATTTCATCTGGTGTCACGATGAATCTGTTATCACTGCTACATTCATAGCTATCTCCAGAATCCTAGAAAAGAAAGTCAGACACAATTAACATCGGGTTTTATTGTCACTTCTCTCTAAAGTGCGTCATTTAAAATAACTACTGAAAATCACCTATATGTTAACATTTTTCATGAGATGCTCTGTTTTCTTTTTTTTTGTTCTGTCACAGCCAGGGCACACAATGCAAATGAAGAGGAGATATAGAAACATTGTTTCCTTTCTCCTCCTCTCTGGATGCTCTCTCTGTGCTGACTGCAGATGCAAAGGGTGAAGCTTTTAACAATGATTGACAGGGAGCTAAGATGGAGACGTCCGGTTGCAGGATAAAGAGGTGTGAATTTCTACATTTAATTTTATTGTTCACATCTCACAAACACAAGTTAAATAAATGGATAAGTAAAAAGCTTCTTGATCCAATGAGATATCTGACTGCCATTTTGGGATTTTTTTATTGTTTGTTGCAAAATAATGAGTAATTACCATTTCTGTAATAATACCAATTTTATACAACCTGTATAGCGCTGATTGTGTTGTGCTGTCCTACATTTATTAAGACACCAGGTATTTCGAACTAGAGCTGGAATACCATCATACACTTACTTTCCCAGATTGTCCCTCCTCCAGCATAGAGCAATGCTGGATGTCCTGCAATTTGAGAGGAAGCTGATCTTCAATCCACATAGCAGGTAAGTGGTCATGTGGTAGGTTGTCAGGATTTTCAGGAACGCTATTATCCAGACTGGAACAATTAGGGTGACTCATTTCATCTGGTGTCATGATGAATCTGTTATCAATGCTACAGTCATAGCTATCTCCAGAATCCTAGAAAAGAAAGTCAGACACAATAAAATTGTAGAGAAAACTAAACTGAATAAAAGATTGAAATTCTATGTTTAAGTTTATTGTTCACATCTCACAATCATATGTTAAATATACGGATAAGGAAATAGCTCCCTGATCTTACGAGATATGACTGCCATTTTCTTTTCTAGTTTGTTGTAAAATAGTGAGGAATTACCATTTCTCTTCAATACCAATTTTATACAACCTGATGGCATTGATTGTGTTGTGCTGTACTACATTTGTTAAGATATCTGTTAAATCGAACTAGAACTGGAATTCCACCTTAAACTTACTTTTACAGATTGTCCCTCCTCCAGCATAGAGCAATGCTGGATGTCCTGCAATTTGAGAAGAAGTTGATCTTCAGTCCACATAGCAGGTAAGTGGTCATGTGGTAGGTTCTCAGAATTTTCAGGAACAATATTATCCAGACTGGAACAATTAGGCTGACTCATTTCATCTGGTGTCATGATGTATCTGTTATCAATGCTACATTCATAGATATCTCCAGAATTCTAGAAAAGAAAGTCAGACGCAATAAAATGGTAAAGAAAGCTAAAGGAAGCTAGGTTTGCTGGGAGTGGAGAGAGAAGCAGTGAATGTGGGAAAATAATGATTAAAAGGAATTTGTAAGCACCATAACCATTCTAGCTCACTGTAGTAGTTACATTAATTAGAGTGTCCTGGTTCTATCCCTGGTTTAATGTCAAACCAATTAGATTCTCCCAAATACCTGGATACTTCCCCCCTCCTCAGCCATACTGATAGTGATCAATTAACAATTTTGTATCAATACCAATTTTATGCAACCTGGATGGCATTGATTGGCTGACAATTTCAGGATAACCCCACAGCTGTCCCGGTTGGACATAACATTTATAGCGCAAAAATGTAAATTCCACATTATCCCTGTGAAGAGGGGTGCAGTCACTGGATGCTAGCCAAAGTCCAGTGTCAAAATGCTCCCAAATGGTTTGACAAAAAAGTGGGTTAGTAGCCACAGACTCTCTGCACTAGAACTACTGCACTAAGCTGTAATGGTTATTCTACGCAGAGTATACACTTAAGTTTAAGGATTAAAAACAACCAAAATAAAGTCAGCACATCTTTACCTGAGCCAGTATGTCCGGGATCTCAATATGGAATGAAAACCAACTCTGATCACTGTGTAGAAATGATTGACTTGGAGCAGGAGGTGGCTCTGAGTCAAACTCCACATCCGGTGGGATAATTGGTTTCATATCAAAGTTTGGAATATCGCTATCAGAAGGAAGACAATAATAGTTTATCTGGTTTAATCGTTAAAATATTATGGCAGATTATCATATCTATATACTCATTATATTTTAGACATTGATGCTGCTATATACAGTGCATTATTTAAAGGAGACCCCAATAATACATATAACTAGGGTTGCAGATTTCTGTGTTTTTGCACCGTATAGAATTCTGCATTCCTGTGTGACATCCAAAGTACTTTCACACCCTGCCTGGCAGACTGCAGAATTCACAGAGTCCTGCAAAGAGGAGGAGATCTGGCGACTTGTCACAAGCATGCAACATGTAGACAGCATTATAAAATGAATCTGTGACTGATACACATGCTAAGAAATGTGTAGACAGCAGTAGGCAAACATATGTCGGACTTATAGATAATTCAACATGTATAGTGCTGTGAACTGGGAGGGATTCAGGTTCTAGCAACATTGATTAGAAAGATATAAAGTGAATACCCAGCCGGCTCTGGCTCCTGTACGTCTGTCACCAATAACGAAGGGGCAAGAATATTAATGTCCGTCTCCGGAACTGGTAACGATGTTTCTTCTGTAAAGGTTTAGACATAACATAATGTAAGTATTGTATATCATTCACAGTGATCAATGATACTCCAATTATTTTCACCTCAATGCTAAAGAGAATAAAACAAGAACCACAATCTCCAATCATAGATCTTAATGATATTTCATTTTATAGAAGAATCAATCAGTTTTTCAAACACTAATAATGCTTATATGTAAACCCATAATATCATGTATAACTCATATAGGTATAAACTAATAATGTCAGTAGTATTGGAGGGGACACAATAAATGTTCAGTAGATATATATCCTGTTTATATACCGTATAGCTGATATGAAGCATGCACCTCCTGCGTGATGGCTGTTAGAATTGATGCGCATGCATCACCTGCCTGTCAACATTTGGAATATGATATTCCACAATGCTTAGCAAATAAATTCACAGTGCTGGGCACATTTGAAGTTGCCTTTCTCGAAGGAGACTATTGCAGTAATTCAGCTCTCATCGGAGAACAATTAAGAATTGTCCATTTAAAGGACCATAGGTGGTTTTCTTTCATATGAACGTCATGTTAATCATAGAGCTGCCTTGTTTTTAGAATGTTCATTATATCTCTATATATTTTAATGCTCTTTATATTCAGAAGCTTTGATCGTCCTTAAAGAAGACATTATGCTCCCAGAACCTATCAACCCAAAGGTCACTATTTGGAATTTCACACATTTGTTCCCTTGGAGGAGCACCTGCAAGTCCCTCTCATGTTAGCATTGATGACCATCCCAACTGGTGTGTTGGCATGAGACTCAGGAAGTGTGTTTTCCATCTGTTTGTTTCTAGGTGAACATAGTTTTCTACATTTTTCTAGAGGCAGGTAGGTGTCTGTCATTAGTTTCTCTGACAATATTCTGGTCACTGATCTTGATTTGATATAAATGGCTTAAAGCACCCAGCAGAATGTATGTTTGATTTACACTAAGTCAGGCTTTGATCGCCACCTTAATATGTAAGTTTTAATATCTCTCAGTGAACTATTTGATATAAAAGCTACTTTTTAAAGGGACTGACTAACAAGAATTTATCTTGTAAAATGTTTTGCAAATTATTTCAGGATATTACTATTATCCCTTATATAGCGCCAACATATTCTGCAGTGGTTTACATTTATAGAAAGGGGATATTTAGGTTTGATGAAGTTTCTGCTCAACGTACATCCATTGAGTAATTAATCCTACCCACAGACACTTACTGGCAAGGTCTAAACCAGGATTCAAACCTTGGTCTTCCAGTTCTAAGGCAGTAACATTCCCAGTGCTTTAACAGGCTCATGTACAGATGTCTAAGATATATGTTTTGTAAATAATATAAAATGTATTTGCGTGTTAGTATAACTCCCTTTGCTCCCAGTTCTAAGAGGACATCTATCTTCTGTCCGTACTCCCACCTCTGATGCTCTAGGGCTACACTGTTCCTGTGGAACTCCCTTCCCTTCTCTGTTAGACGCACACCCAGTCTCCACTCCTTCAAAAAAATCATTAAAAGCCCACTTCTTCACAAAAGCATATCAGTTAAACTGTTAGTAGCTCCCGACTGATTCCTCTCCTTCAACTGTCATTACTTCCCTATACTTCCTTTAGCTTTTGTGTCACTTTACCCCACTCCCTCTAGCATGTAAACTGATTGTGCAGGGCCCTCAACCCCTCAGTAGCTGTGTGTCCAACTTGTCTGGTTACAATTACATGTTTGTTAGTCCACCCACTGTAAAGCGCTGCAGAATTTGCTGGCGCTATATAAATAATAACATTAATAATAATCTGTACATTTCCTCACAAACCCTTGGAGTATAGAGGTATACGGGATATACACCGCTCTCTCATACCTTCCTGTAAGAGAGTTATATCTTGCAGTAGTGGTTATGGTGCCAGGAGTGCCCTGGATCCCATTATAAGTAGTCAAACCGTTTTTGAACAGTTTTCATTGTTACCCATAAATCTTCTTTTAAACTACATATGAGGTTACTGAACCTTTACCTTTAATGATAGATGTTTCTTCCAGAATTAAGTCGCGTAAACTGTCTATTTTGTTCTCGCTGTCTTGTAGTATTTTCTGGACAGCAGTAAGATGTTTGACATTCTGTAACAGCAATAAGAATAGTCAGATAATTGAGTGAGATGTATGAAGAAGTGTAGCCTCAATTACCCTATTCTAGGAAATAAGCCCTGACTGCTCACACCCCAGGAGAGACATGGACTATGTTATTACCCCTTAAACAATGATTTTCACCCAGATGTCAAACACCACAGTGCTTCTATGCAGGCAAACTAAATTATAGACACATGCATTATGGAAAAAGAGAAACATTATAATCTTTACAAAGAGAAATAAATACACATTGGCTGCATGCTTTACAATTAGAAATATTAAAAATAATGAATGGCTGATCAAGAAAAGCTTGTGCCTTCAACTAAATAGTTGAGATGGTGTCGGCAAACTCATGGAAATTTAGTTTCTATCGCATCTCTTGATTCCAGGAACAAATATCACCAACATACTATTAGCTTAAATCAGATAAAATGCTGTTGGGCTGAAAAAACTTATGCATTGTACAATGTGTTTCCACCACTCCCACACCAAAAAAAAAAAAGTTTAAAGAATTGTTTCTGTCTCTTATTTAAATATAACCAACTTACTTTGGAATTTCCATTTGAATATGCACCGACCATAATCTCTGCTCCATGTTTCACCTTCAGCTCAATGCTCAGCTGTTTCTGCAAAGCAGTCAGCTTCGCGTTATCTGCCTGGGAGCTGGCGTCATCTTTAGGAGCAGCTGAGATCTCTGGACATCACGGAAATTAGTATCAAGAAAAAAAATACAGAATTTAGAAATGTCGGCAGACAGTTTCACTTAATAAATAAAAAAGGCAATAACAGTAACATCTGTAAGTAAAGATATTGTAATCTACACAAAACCTGAGAGCAGCAGAAAATCAACAAAAATCACTGCAGCTAAACGTCCCCCGTGCTTGATGGCATCACAGCGGGACGGTATGAACAGTATTCTCTTTGAGGTGTCACGTCATAAACTCATCCACTAACTATTCCAGCTTCTACATAGGTCAGTGAGATTGCCATTATTATAGCCAGTCACGACATAAATGGGGTCATTCTATAAGCCACATTGTAACTCTGTGTGTTTTCCCAACCCCTCCACCCCCATATAGGCTCTCATAGGGAATAATGCAATTACCAGGATTGGGTGAGAGATTTCCCATCTAAACAGAGCTCACTGGAGAAGCTGCAAATTTTTGTTTTATGTTTCTGTAAAACTAACAAGGCTAAGCTTTCCTCAGCCAGTATTTATTTTATTCTGCATGTTTTCACGCTGTATAATGTGGCTGATCTGATGCTCAGTAAGTGATCTTTTCTATAAGTCAGTCTACGATCTCATACAGCACATCACGAGTGCAGTAACTGATCCAAAGTTACGATTTGCTGTTTGAAGTCTCTAAAACATCCACCTGATTATAAAATGAAAAAGAAAAAGAAAAACAGTACTGCTTCCTCTATATATCTGTAGGTTACATTTACATGTTGGATGCGTAACATAGTATTTATCCATGTTCTCCAGGAAATGATTGAAATATATTTACAATAAACAAGCACATACACACACTCATTACAAGGAAACACAAAGTCTTGGAATGTACCTTCTGCGTCTGGCACAACAATATGCGCATTGCGCTCCTGAAGTTTAATGTAAAGATCATCCAGTTTTTTTTGTGATGTTTTGAGAAACTTGTTGACTTTTGCAAGATGTTTTTTCTTGGTTGTAGCCTTTACCATGTTTCTGGCTCCTGCTGTAATTTTAAGTTCTTTTCTAATTTCCTGTTTGATCTGCTCTCTAACTTTATCAATATCCGGTTGAGCTACATGTTTAGGGATGTCCTTTGATGACTCGCTATTAGCTGCCGATACGATACGTTTTGGAGAGTTCAGATCGATTGAGATAAAACTACCATTTACAGCTGAGTCCTTGGCAATTTTAGGAGAATTTGGAGTAATTGGACACTCTATAAATAATAATAATAAAAAAGACAGTAGTCAAATCACAATGTAGACAGACAATAGTGTGCATTCACTGGTTTGAAATATTACACAATACAAGTAAGGCAACATGACAAATTATAGGATCTTTTAATACATACACTTTTATTCAGACACTTCATGTACCATAATATGTTATGTGCTCTCAAATGTTTTGGTGCCCGATGTTTCCCTATCCCTGCTTTTGTCTTCTGATTATTATAACTACAACATAATATTATTCCCTGCCTTGTCCTATATCTTTTAAGACGAGCTAAGTGGGCGAAACGCGCGCGTCAGGGGCTTTAGGGCTGTATTCATGCCGTTTTTGTTATCATAATAGATTTCTATTCTGATAGTCTTTTCGCGATTTTCTCTCTCAGCTTGGGTTAGACATAGGTGCCCTCGCAGGCACGGGGGTGGATGGATAGACGGAGTGCTCTCTTTACAAATTTGTCTTTGTCTATCGGGGAGACACTTTAGGACGCTCTCATTTTTGTAATTATTAGTGTAGATCTAATAGCGTGCTTATAGCATAGCAACTATATCCTCTCATCTCTTTGCACTATCTATCCACCAGTTGTATTCTTATTTACCTATCCATATTATTCATCTGTACCAATTAATTGTAAAGTAGTTCTTACAGATTCTTATATATATAATCATTCCCTTTACTTATAACATTCAACTGCTAATCAGCCTTTATAGTCGATTACCTAATACTCATCGATCAGTCATAACAATCGATCTGTTTGTATCTACTTTTACAGCTATTCCTATTTACCATCCACCTAGTCATGATCAACTATTCTAACAATTGAAATTAGAGTTTCTGATCCAACAACCTTTAGGGATACATTCTCAGCTACTACTATCCTAAGACATCAGTACTGATTTTAGCCAACACTTTGTATCGTTTCTTTTAGCGTTACAATTTTCTTGTTGTATCCATTATCACAAATTAATCTTTTTGATGCCATTGATACTTAATAAATTCTTTTTTATTTTTGGACCTTCTGGTCTTTTTTAGGTGTGCCTTACATCTTTAACTTTTTATTAAGAAGTTTAGGTACATGTTACTCTCTCCCATTCTCTAGGTACACTATTCTTCAGTTTATTATCTATATCTTTTAAGCCCTTAAGGATGGAGGAAGTTATCCAAGTTCTGTTCAAAACAAAACCTTGAATTTGAGATATATATTGTTCAACCACAGCTTAATCTCTTTCATATTAAGTGCACCCACACGTATTATATACAATTTTGTTCAAGAGAAAGAGGGTTTTCATTTCCCAAAAAATAAACTATTTATGTATGAAACATAATTTAATATGAATAAAATCTAAAAAAAAGTATGAGAAATTAAAAAGTTCTCTGTGGCATTTTACCTTTAAATGTCATAATACTGTTAACTTTTAGTGCAATAAAATGCACATATTTATGTTCAGCCATATACAGGTTTTATGGATTTTTGGAAAGTTACAGGGTTACATATAGTACTTCCCGCTTTTTGCACCTTGAAATTTGTTGGTTTAGTTGCCTTTAAGGCAGTATGGCAGGCCAGGAATGAGAATTACCCCCATCATGGCAAACCATTTGCAAACGTAGACAACCCAGGGTTTTGCAAATGGGGTATATCCAATCTTTTAGGAGCCACTTAGTCACAAACCCTGTCCAAACATTTGCATTTTTCACAGAAAAGCTGCACTTTCACTGATGATATCATCGTCATTAAATGATTTACTCTTTTAAAACATACGTATTTGTTTTCAGCCAAGTCTCACAAGTACAACAGTAGCCCCCATGTCCAGGTTTTACGGTGTTTTGGAAAGTTACAAGGTTAAATATAGGGCTTGTAAATTGAATTCACTGGACTTTCTGCCTGGGTTGTCAGGCAGGTCCCTCAATTTATAATCAATAAAATCACATCATTATGTAAAAATAATACGTAAATATATACTTTATATATATGTAATTTAATTTTACATAAATTTTGATAGCAATATATAAATATTGATATCGAAATGCACTTAAATTAAATTTCTTGGGGGGAGCATTTGTTATGTTTACACATGAGAGGCAACCACTGGTTCCATTGAGTTATAAACATTAATGGAGTATGCAGCTCAATAAACAGTTTCTTCATGAATATTAGTGAATGAAACTACTGCCAAGTGCTGAACTACATACACCTGCTGAGTTTATGGGATATGCTTAGCATTGTCATTAAAAAGAATGGGAACATTCCAGATCTTTCCTGGACTAAGACAGTAGTGCATTATGGGTGGGGGGATACAAGGGGTAAGGGGGTTAGAAGAGACTCACAAGATGGAAACGGCGTCTGAATATATACAAATGGATCTACCTTCCCCAAAATATTAACTCTGCAATCTAATGTCCCAGAAATGTCAACATTGTATATTTTGTACAAACTCTGCAGGAAGCAATCAAACCAGAGAAATCTGAATGTGTCCTTCCTGGTCAAAAATGAACAGAAACCTATTCTTAAAGTTATAGAAGAAGGAATGTCCTGCTAGGAGAATTGTTACCAGGCTTCCCAAAGATAGATATAACAGCCACACACACAATGTTTTAACGTACCCGAAGGGTCCTCTCCTTTCTGCTCAGCGTCATCACATTTCTTGCGTCTGGCGCCCTGAAATGGCAAAAACAATCAGAAACCCAAATAAATTCAAATAAAAATCCTCTGACTAACCAAAGTTTTTACAGTCCATCTCGTTGCTGCCACAGGGCCCAGCAATAAACTACTACAAACAACCTAAAGGTATGGGTTTACTTAAATCGCATTGAAGTTGTTATAGTGCCTGGAGTCCCTGGAACAGCCTTATATTTATGTGTTAAATTGTTTGTAAATAATTTAACACTAAATATGTGCCATCAGTAACCGTTCTCTCCCTCTTCTCTTCTCTTCGGCTAATGCAGTAGTATTGGTACAGCCAGTAAGGAGATGGCAGAGATTATCTGAGAGTAGCAGCTGACAATTCATTAATGGTAGTTAGCAGCAGTGGTTATGGTGTTTGGAGTGGCCCTTTAAAGGAAAACTCCAGAAAACTTAAAGCACCTCTGCTTGCTGTATGAGGCCTGTTACATTTGTGACCGTTTATAAAAGTGTTTCTTTTAAATACACCACAGGCGGAGCATATTGCGCTATGGTCAGTGTGATGTCATACCATGGACGGAGCATATTAGCAGGGGGGGGAGGGAAGGTCAGCAAAATGTTGTTTTGCCTAAAGTAGTTAAAAAACTTGCATTGACCCTGTATGTAACTAGTATGGGAAATGTTTTATATAGATTTCCAATCTATTGAGTAACTTGGCTTCATCCACTGAACACTGAATTCTAGTACATTGAAACCCAAATGGCAAAATTGAAGGTAAAATAGTTAAGCTGTCGTTACAGTCCAGTTGGAGAATTTTGAAATCATCAATTTTAATTGACTTTCGGATTTAGTTTTCCATTTACCATTTCCTGTTTAGTATCTTGGGCTGCCACTGTCTTGTGGAATTTTAATTTATTGAATTTCCTCGATAATTAATATATGTCTAAACCTTAGTGTATGTAAACCATATAATAGACTTAATGAGTTTGTTCTAATTCTGATCACATATACAACTAGTTGTATGAACAAGGACAAACTACTCCCAGAATTGGATGTGAGTGGAACGATGGGCTTGTAGCTGCAACATTATTGCAAATTGCTGTAACTATAAAGAACAAATTAAAGTGATACAGGAATGGGGAGACCATAGACTGTCATGGGGATTTGAATATAGAAAAATGAGTTAAGCATTTTAACTCCATTGAGATAAGAATACAATAATGATTTGCTTCTACCCCTCTAGTGATACATATTATTAATTTAAATATGGACCCACCCACAAACTTGGAGTTAACATGTTACAAACCCCAGTTAATGGTTTGGTTAATTGGAACCTTAAAGAAAACAAGTCATTTACTGACCTTTCGAAAGGGCAAACGCCGAATCCACGAGAAAACATTTCTATTTGCCATCTCTAGCAATTTGCTCACCACAACAGCTAAGCAGTGCCTACTGTCCAAGCCGTGTCTAGTGACTGCTGCAAACTGTGAGCATAAAGGGTGATGTTACATGATGTCACGATGATGTCACAGTAAGCAGTCACAATGGGTCACATGTCCCCACCAGCTTGACACACAAACAAATATAATACACATATAAATACACAAAAGTATACAAAAATGTATAACAAAAAGGAGAAACTCTCTAAATTAAAACACACACACCCAAATGTATATAAAAAAGAAAATAATAACATTAAATTATATATATCAATATGTGTGAAATACCACCTGGTAATAAATAATAAAACCTAAAAAAGAAAAATATACACAAAATAGTGTAATACAGCTACAAATAATCAAGAAAGGGGGCAAGGGGAGCTAGACCACTTACAAGATTGTATTCAGTTATAGGCATATCTCCCCAAAGGGTATCTCTAAAATGTAAAGTCCTGTTTCAGTAGTTGTATAGTAGATGAAAAGTTCTAATATTGTAAATGAAAAAGAGAAATAGTGCAATATTGCAATGTATAAAATATATTTAACAAATGATCCACCTCCCATCCCCTGCATGTAAGCCCTGCCTCCCGAACACAAGCCCTGCCTCCTTCACCCAAGGGGCCTTAAAATGGTAACCCTGCGGCTCCCCGTTATTGTTGGGGGTATGGCCTAAAAATATTTTGTCTTTACCCCTCTTAATGTTCTCCGGGCGGGATAGCCGACACCTGTCTTACCTATGGAGCATATGAGAGGCACCAGGACTTACCCAGCATAAAACTGCTCTTTCTTGTGCCACATCTTGTAAATAGGTCTTCCCCACTGCACACGACCCTTAGCGTAACATAGGTTTCAGATGTTAATGTTACACCTTATTGACCGATACTCCTAACCTAGCACTGTTAAATGTTGACCTTTTCATTTATCCTATTGACCTCACTGTTTAACCTTTAAGATGGCAGTCATAATTTTATAAAACTACGCGAGAACTCATGCCACAGTTTATATTATTTTATCTTAAGTATATTATCTGACTCGCTAATGCATGCTGTCACACCCCTACAAAACCCAGAGAGCCTGCCTATAATGTCTAATTAATGCATACACTGGCCTAGCAAGAATGTGAACAACTGTGATAACATGCCTACCTTAGCACTGTTAAGCGTTAACCTCTTCATTTCATTTTACTTTAAAATCATTACTGTTTAGCCTATCGGATGATTGCTATAACTATATAAAATGTGCAAGATTTCATGCCACTGTTTAATTTAAGTACAATTTCAGACACGCCGTTGGGGCGCATATCAATACGATGTATAACGTGCACAACAAAAATAAAGAATTCAAAAAAAAAAAAAATGGTTCCCACAGTCTTCAGTTCAGGTAAGCTTCAGGTAACAACAGTGATTTTGTGTGTATGTGCCTGCTAGTGAGTGAGCTTGTATGTTTGTGTGTCAGTGAGCTTGTACAGCTGTAGTGAGTAGGTGTGTGTGAAAGAGTTAGGTTGTCTGTAGTGAGCATGTGTGTGTGTTAGTGAGCTTGTCTGTAATGAGCATGTGTGTGTCAATGAGCTTGTCTGCAGTGAGCTTGTGTGTGTGACAGTGAGCTTGTCTGTAGTGAGCATGCGTGTGTCAGTGAGCTTGTCTGTATTGAGCATGTGTGTGTCAGTGAGCTTGTCTGTAGTGAGCTTGTGTGTGTGTGTGACAGTGAGCGTGTCTGTAATGAGCATGTGTATGTTAGTGAGCTTGTCTGTAGTGAGCTTGTGTGTGTGTCAGTGAGCGTGTCTGTAATGAGCATGTGTGTGTCAGTGAGCTTGTCTGTAGTGAGCTTGTGTGTGTGACAGTGAGCTTGTCTGTAGTGAACATGTGTGTGTGTCACCTTGTCTGTAGTAACTTAGAATTAACTTTCTACTCAGACCTGTCTGGAGATACCTTGCAGTGGCGAAGATCCATGCAGCCTTTCATCTCCCTCCTCAGGGAACATGGCATCCCGTACAGATGGCGCTTCTCGTGGACCCTGACCAGTGGACATGCTAACTCCACACACTCCATTCAAGACCTACAAAGTGTGGCTGTACTGTCGGAGAAGTTGGGCCTCCCATGGGACTCCCTGAACAAAACAGGTCAACAAGCAACACCTAAACTTGCGCATAGATGGGACCCAGAGAAAGTTACCCCTTTTGTCCCTCAGAAGGCCTTCTTAGAGCCCTACACAGTCACCACAACCTGAGGCTCTATCCTACCCACAGAGTACAGGGCATTATCTGCTGACTAGAACTGAAATATTACTTTTCATCTGATGTCTTTTTATTCTTTTTTGTTTTTACAGTTATACAATGTAATAATGTATTAGATATGGCGCACCATGTGTATAAGAAAATTTGGCAGCATGGCAAACCACCTTATACCCCCCCCCCCCACCTCTTCACTAGAGTCCGACTGCGTGACAGAGCACAACATGGCCCAGAGGTGTAAAACTAATGTAGCCATCTGCCATCAGTCCAGATATAACGAACCGAGTAGCACAAGTCACAACTGGACAGTAGGCATAAGCACTGCAAATGGCTCTGTATATTTATTATACTCTATATTTTCCTCCGTTTTATTTTTCATATCTCCAGGCTACCCAACTACAGACCGCACTCGCATAAACAAGCGGCTTGTGGTTATCTTAAATGGGCGCACGAACGCCACATTCTTTATGAGGGCCTGCGGTTGCTAGGCTATATTTGCCTAATGTTCCTACTCAATATAACCACAAAAACCTCAGCTTATTAGCTTGGCTTATATGCTATTCTGTTTAATACTATGCTTCAATCTTTATGTCATTATGTGATTTACAATCCTGTGCTTCTAATGTGAATGAGCTGAACAAAAATAAAGAATTTAACAAAAAAAAAAAAAAAAACAATGCTCCTACTTTTGCCTCACATCAAGAAGCTGAGAATATCCCATACTCTGAATATTTCTTGTTATGTACAACTGTGACACCTTTTACATGGCTTCTTGAGATTTGAACATATGTGTGCCACAGGTCTATGATACGAAGGCTAAATATCTATTATTTACCCAGCACTGTTACCAGCAAAGTACAAATCATAATGTAGTTTTCAGACAACTTGAGAGACAGATCTGGGACGTCGGGTTTCTATGGAGGAACGGGAGACGATTTCAGAAATGCTTTTAACATAAATATATGTATATACTCCTAATAAAAAAAATGTCTACAAAACAAACCTGGGTACCTATACATGTAGATATATCCATCCAACTTATATCCATGTCTGGTGGAAGTGCAGTGTAACCCAAGAATTCTAGCACGACGTGTTTGAACTAATTTGCTATGTATTGGGCAAATCAATCAGTCACGATCCATAGGTTGCTCTACTTGATAGTCCAGGGCTCACTGACTGAGTCAACAATGTATCTTCCACGCGACTAACAAGGCATTTGCCTTGGGCTGCACTTTCCAGGGTGTGGCAAGTAACGCTGCCCCCAAATGCCCAGGCTAAAGCCTTGTTAGCCTCCTTTTAAGGGGGCCCAAGAGCTGGCTGGCTTGCCATCTTTGGCACCCCCGGGCAGACGGCTAGTTGAGCTCCAGGCGGGCGGTGAGGGAGAACTGATTATGACGTCACTCTGGCTCCCGGCATTACTGTGAGGCATTGAGCAACCTAGCAGATTTGCCCGTTTGAGTGAAGATGTTGGGAGCATCAACTCAGGAGTAGCTGTACTAGAGGAAGCAGTTCCTTCTAACAGCCAAGGGAACAGCCCCTCTAGTAGGGATTGGTATGATAATGTAAGGAAGGCTAGACAGGTTGTGGTGGTAGGGCACTCTATTACTTAGAAAATAGATAGGGTAATTTTCCACACGGCAGTTAAAATGTTCCTTGTTAGTCTCTATATATGTGTTGCCAAATGTATCAATTGCAGCAAATATATAGTTGCAAAACGCTGCAGCATATTGACTTAATTGTTGTTAATTGTTGTTGCTATGGTAGACCGAGTAGTATAGGTAAAAGACAAGCCTCTCTCTCTGTTAAACTTGCTCAATAGTCAGAGGAGTAAGAAAAAGAAAAGTGAAGTGCTATAAAATTATATCATGTTTAAAGGACCACTATAGGCACCCAGACCACTTCAGCTCAATGAAGTGATCTGGGTGCCAGGTCCATCTAGGGTTAACCCTGCAGCTGTAAATATAGCCGTTTCAGAGAAACGGCTATGTTTATATTAGGGTTAATCAAGCCTCTAGTGCAGTGATGGCGAACCTTTTTGAGCCCGAGTGCCCAAACAGCAATACATGCCAACTTTTTTTTCCTCAAAGTGCCAACACGTCAATTAAACCTGAATACTGAGATTTAAGTTTAGAAAAAATAACTAATTAACAACTTTGCTTTTAAAAGAACACAACAACAGGGAGTTCACTGATACAAATTTTAAATAATGGATACAATTAAACTTATATTTATTAATATCTCCAACAAATGCAATATATACACACACAGACTGCTGAATACATAGACTTCTGAATACACACCCACACAGTCTGCTGAATACACACACAGACTGCTGAATACATACACACAGTCTGCTGAATACACACACACAGTCCACTGAATACACACTGCTGAATACACACACACACAGTCCGCTGAATACACACACACAGTCCACTGAATACACACACAGTCCACTGAATACACACACTGCTGAGTACACACAGACTGCTGAATACATACACACAGACTGCTGAATACACACACACACAGGTTGCTGAATACACACACACACACAGACTGCTGAATACACATACTGCCTTGAGGGGTGCAGTGTATGTGTTTGTGTGTGGGGTGCTGTGTGTGTGAGGGGTCCTGTGTGTCTGAGGGGTGCTGTGTGTGTGTTTGAGGTGTGCTGTGTCTGTGTGTTTGTGTGAGGGGTGCTGTGCTGTGTGGGGAGGTAGGGGTGCTGTGCTGCGTGGAGGGAAGGGGTGCTGGGCGGGGGTAGGGGTGCTGTGCTGTGTGGGGGAAGGGGTGCTGTGCTGTGGGGGTAGGGGTGCTGTCTGTGTTGGGTAGGGGTGCTGTTTGTGGGTAGGGGTGTTGTGTGTGTGGTGGGGGTAGTGGTGCTGTGTGTGTGGGGAGGTAGGGGTGCTGTGCTGCGTGGGGAGGTAGGGGTGCTGTGCTGCATGTGGGGTAGGGGTGCTGGGCGGGGGTAAGGGTGCTGTGCTGTGTGGGGGTAGGGGTGCTGTGCTGTGGGGGGTAGGGGTGCTGTGTGTGTTGGGGTAGGGGTGCTGTGCTGCATGTGGGGTAGGGATGCTGGGGTAAGCTGTGTGGGGGTAGGGGTGCTGTGTGTGTGGGGGGGTAGGGGTACAGTGTGTGTGGGGGGGTTGGAGGTACTGTGTGTGGGAGGTAGGGGTACTGTGTGTGTGGAGGGTAGCGGTACTGTGTGTGGGGGGAAAGGGGTGCTGTGTGGGGGGAGGTGGAGGTAAAAAAAAAAAAAAGGTATATTAAGTCTGTATCCCCCCCTCCTCCCTCCCTCATTCTTACCTTTGATGAAGGACACAACCCTCCCTGGTGGTCCTGTGGTGGTAAGTACAGTAGGGAGCAGCTCTCCTATCTTCCCTCCCGCCTGCGTGATGCTGTGTGTAGCGTTGCCATGTTAACGCGCGGCAACGCTCCACACAGATTGCTCGCGGGAGGACAGGAGAGCCGCTTCCTAGAGCCCTCCCCCTGCCTCCCGACATGGTTCCGCGCTTCTATGTGATTTTCCCAGTAAGAAGACGCTGCCGTCCATAGGAAAGCATTGTGAAATGTTTTCCTATGGACCGAATGAATGTGGCTCTTGCCGCGCATGCACATTCAGCGGATGACATTGGAAGAGGGAGGAGAGTCCCCAGCGCAGAGGGAGCCTGGCGCTGGAGAAAGGTAAGTGTTTAACCCCTTAACCCTTCTTGAGCCCAGCGGGAGTGGGACGCTGAGGGTTGGGGGGACCTATTAACACTATAATGCCAGGAAAACCAGTTTGTTTTCCTGGCACTATAGTGGTTGTAACAAAATCCCTTGTTAAACAGACTATGCGAACCAGCCTGTTTGGTTATTTAGACATGTGTGGGGTGATTTCGTGCAAATAGCAATAAAACGAATAAACTGCCGAATCACCCGACCTCCTACTGAGGTCGTGTGGCGCCCATTAACCACCCAGACTTTAAGGTTAACCATAGAGTAATTGGGGAACAGCTTGGTGGTCCACGTTCGTCTGCCGAACACGTGGCAGTCGCCATTTTAAATCGTCGAACGCCCAACGGTAAATGGGGGCGATTCCCTGGAACTCTTTTTCGGATACTTATTCTGCCGAACACCGCTGATACTTACCAAGGTCCTCGTTCGTACGGTGGAAAACCGGAGACATTGCACTGTTCGGGACTTGGATTTATGCGAAAGAGACTGACCCCAGATAGCTACAGTGTGGAACTCTTTGTTGGATACAAACACGCGAACGGCCGGTGAAGTCCAAACTTCATTCAACATTATTGAGAACTGTGTTCGTGGGATCTGAGCGCTATTCGCCTAGAATATGCACTCAGATCCAAGCTATCTGGGGGTATGTGGGACTTAAAGTTTATGTTCAGTAAAATATAAGTTATAGATTTTTATGCTGTTTTGTGAATATGGGAAAAGCCATGTTTCTTTCTACCTGGAGATAATTAAGGCTCTCTTTACTACCTTAAGTTAATTATCTCCAGGATGGAAAGGAGGGAAAGACCTATATAAAAGGGGAGTGCTTATGTTATAGCCACTGCGATTGGCTACTGTAATTCTTTTGTCCCAGTCTTCCATCTGGCCCCCTAGGGGAGTGTCCACCAGGTGGGAGACCTGCATAAATACCGGGCAGGTAGCCCCCATTATATCAGATCATTTTACCCCTTCATGAAGTCTCGACTCATGTTTGGGGGATTGGAAGCTATAATCACTTTGTTCCAGCTGGATTTCGGGAGAAGCTACAAGGATCAGCACTGCACGAATAGAAGGATCCTCTACAGTGGTCCTTTAAGTCTGCATGATATGTAACACCATTGTGAATAGGTGTATAGTGACCTTTGCCAAAGAGAAAAGAAGATGCCCGACGTGCATTTCGGTGCACAACTCAGGACTGACTTTAACTCCTTCAGTGCTGATAGGGCAATCCATCCCAGTTCAGACTACTTAATAAATTAATACTTTCTTTATAGTCATGAAGGAAGATCTTTATAAAAACCATCATTTTTAGTGATATTTGAAGGTTAGGAAATTCCCGTAACATATATATATAGAAAAACCTTAAGTCTATTTGTATTGCTACTATCGCCCATTTATGCTCATAGTATGGTGTGCCCAACGTGTAGATTAAATTAACTCTTGCTCTGAGTATATATGATGTATTAAGGCTTACTAATGTTATCATATATTAGACTGTAAATGCAGATGGATATGGCATTCACTACAACAAATTGTAGACTATTTAGATTCATGAGTATCTAAATATTAATATCATTTACAGGGCAAACATACTTTTAACCCTTTATGTTCATCCAAGTTATACCAAAAACTTATCTTTCCCTATCTCTATTGTTTTTTAGTATGTCAAGATAAAGATTCATAATAACAGATATCCAGTGTTTTGTTAATTCATAACTTATTAAGTTTATCTTTGTGCATCTTGGATATGACTCATAGGGTACATGATTTAAATAGGGATATAAATCATTATAGTTATTACTGTGCGAATTGTTTATACTGTCATCATTAGATATTTACAGATTTTTTTACATGTTGGTTAGGGTTTTAGGTACAATTTATGAACCTGATCACAGGTTTTTTCAATGTATTAAAGGTACATGCAAGTTAAGGTGTCTCAATATAAATTTGCAATATTAGTGTTTAGCAGTCGGTTTAATCATTGTATGAGTACAATTATGGGCAAAAAAGGAATATTTGGTTTGACAAGAGTGATCATGGACATTGTTTAAAAAATTATATATAAAGTGCTTTTAAGCCAATACAGGTTACAGTTATCAATCAGATATGAATGGGGTATATAAAAATCTTTCATCCAAACCAAACGGGGAGAGCGTTTTTAGTTTGGATTTCCAATAGCTCTCTCTCGGTAATAGTTTTTTTATCTAGGTCTCCTTTCCTGGGGCCCAGATTTATTTCTATTCCGCTGAAGCGTAATCCTTGAGAAGGTCCCCCATGATGTAACTTTAACCCCTTAAGGACACATGACGGAAATATTCCGTCATGATTCCGTTATTCCAGAAGTTGTGTCCTTAAGGGGTTGTGTTTAGAAATCGGGGTGTCAACTTGTCTAGATGGATTAACTGAGTTGACATGCTCCAAGATATGCTTCTTAAACGCTCTGCTGGTTTTACCCACATATTTCAAATTGCAGCTACAGGTTAGTAGATACAGTATACCTGAAGTTAGGCAGTTAAAGAAAGTTTTGGTATTAAATATTTCTGTTTCGCCTGAATCTGAAAATGCCTTTGAGTGTCTGCGGATATATTTGCAGGCTTTGCAACACCCACACTGGTATGTTCCACACGTGGGCACTGTAAGCCAGTTGGATTTTTTTGAAGAAATAGAGAGATGGCTAGGAACCAAGATGTCTTTAAGGTTGCGTCCACGTCTGGCTGTCATGGTGACATGAAGTGTGATGATCTCTTTTACATGATGATCTTGATATAGTAGTGGCCAATATCTGTCTAGTGTATTTTTGACATGGTACCACCCAGAATCATATGTACCAATACATCTAATTTGATTTTGATCATCTTTGTTTTTGTCTTTTTTAACAAGAAGGGTTTTAGCCTTTGTTTTGAAATCTTCTATCGAGGAGCAATTATGACTCAGTCGCAGATATTGCCTTATCGGTTGTTTGTAGCAGTGGATTTGCAATTTAGGGTAGTAGCCAGATGTTTGTCATCTGTCATTTCAATAGTAACATCCAAGAAGTTAAGTATTTTATCATCGACTTCAAAAGTCAGAATTAAGTTGATTTTGTTGATGTTTGCTTATCTACAAATTCCTGGAATTTTTCTGTAGTGCCAGTCCAGATGACCAATATGCCATCTATATATCTTTTCCACATTTTTACGTATTTTGTGTATGGCTCCAGATGTGTACCTAACACTATATTTTGTTCCCACCAACCCAGGTGGAGCTTGGCATATGAAGGGGCACAAGTCGTCCCCATAGCGTTCCCTGTCACCTGGTGGTAGTATTGTAAACTAGTTAAATGTATTTTTGACCAGTCCCAAATAGGTTTTCTGGGTTACGTGATATCAGGAGATGGGTTTGCAATGGATCCCAAGAAATTGTATTCCATGCTCAAGTGGCCTTTACATAATGGACTTAAAGCTATCCAGAGATTTATAGGCTTCTTGAACTATTATAGACATTTTATCAAAGGTTTTTCGTCTATTGTTGCTCCCATAATGAATTTGAAGAAAGGTGTTAATCCCAAAAGATGGTCTTCTGATGCTTTGAAGGCGTTTGAAACCTTGAAAAAATATTTTGCATCTGCTCCTATACTAGTGCATCCTGATCCTAACCTTCCTTTCTTACTAGAGGTTGATGCATCTGAGACTGGTTTAGGAGCTGTTTTGTCTCAACGCAAAAACCATGACCAAACCCTTCATCCTTGTGGCTTCTACTCGAAAAAAACTAGATGACACAGACAGAAGATGTGAAATATGGGATAGGGCACTTCTTGCTATTATATTGGCCTTAAAAGAGTGGCGTCACCTCTTAGAAGGTACCATACATCCAGTGACCATCTTTACAGACCATAAGAACCTCTCCTATATTGGAGAAGCCAAACGTTTTTCAGATAGACAAGCCCATTGGTGCCTTTTCCGGGCTAGGTTCAATTACGTTTTAAAGTATAGAACTGGATCAAAAAAACTCAAAAGCAGATGCTTTATCCCGACATCATTGCCAATATCCGAATCAGTATATAGTCTCCCCTTGTTTCTGTCATCATAGTCAAACAAACCCTGGCTCCTGAAAATACCCCTAATGGCAAACTGTATGTGCCTCCTGAACACCAGAGGGAAATACTCCTTTGCCCTCAGGACAGCAAGATCGCGGGTCATCCTGGTATACACAAATCCTACAATTTGATTTCTAAAGAGTTTTGGTGGCCATCATTACGAAAGGACATTAGGGACTATGTTTTTGCCTGTTGTGTCTGTGCTGAAACCAAACTTTCTCATACCCTTCCTTGTGGTCTGCTTCAACCCCTTGACATACCCAACAAACCAT